AACAACTATAACTTGCATTTATTACAGGAAAAATCAAAATGTACATACACGCACGTACAACAAAAGTAAAATGGAAGAGAGCACTTCCATGACAACGCATGAAAAAATGTACAATCCCTTCCCTTTCAAACAGTACATGGGATGGCACATCTATTTCAAAACCAACAAGGGGCATATACAAGTCAGCCCTCATAGTCTAACAAAGAACCCCCTGGGCTTAGCTTGCCACAAAACTAGTGAAAGCCATCATAATCTAACTCCCCTAAATGGAAGAGGCCAGCAAAATCCATCTCGATAGACGTATGGGCAGTGTTGACTTCCTTGGCTCTTCTCACCACTTGTCCAGGACCTAGAACTTCAGATTTATCGGAAGACATAGATCACTCACTCAGTTTCCTCCCCTTCTCAAACCCAAGTGCTTTACACGCCTCACAAACATCCTGGACTCCATTAGTGAGTTCAGTGCTCTCAATGACTATGTCGATTGCACAAACCACTCCCTCCTCTAGCACCCATTACAATTCACCATGAGCAATGGGACCATCAACACGTGCTCGAGCCAGTTGACGTTGGCATCGGGCCAATTTATTTGCCATCACGTTCTCTTTTCAGGTCAGAAAGCTTACTTGATCCTCGAAGCGCTCTGTTCGGTCCTCCAGAGTGAGAACATGCTCCTCCAGAATGGATTTCTCGCATGCCACAACACAATTCTATTCAGAGAGAACACGATGCTCAGCCTCTACATCACAAAGTTCCTTCATCAGGCTTACAATGGTACTGCGCAAAGGTCTCATCTGCACTTCGGTCACTCTGACACAACAAACTCGGTCGGCAACTGCAACCATCAACGCTAATGCTTGGGCTGTAGCATAACAAAGGTCACCAACAACTTGAACCCCATATTTTCCTGCAAGAAATCTCATCGTAGCCTGGGAATGAGCATAGAAACTCCATTCTTGGGCATTGGTATCATCCGATAGTAAAGAATGTCATGTAATCGCCCATTGTGACAACCGTCAAATTTCGTCAAGTTAAAGTCAACTAAAGTCAGCAAGTCAAACTGTTTGACTCAATTTGCCCGTGAGTACTAAAATTTACACTATGAAACTTTTACATAACTTCTATTCTAATGAGAAATCATAAAGCAAAAAGTGCGAACATCTAGATCTCCTTAACCTAAAACTGTGGTACGTGGCGAGCCAAACCGATAAAACAATGTGGCATACTCGTCGGGAGTGTGTAAGATCCTTAAACAAGGCTTAACAGGGTTTACGAACCATGTATTGCGATGCTGGACACTCACACTTGTCACACATGGAACCTCTCTCAATCGTTTTCACTCTATCTCTCTCTATGTCAAATCTCTCCCAAATCTCTCCCAAATCTCTCCAAGTATGTGAAATCTCTCTCAAATATCTCTCTGTATTAGAAATCTCTCCAAGAATGTCAAATCTCTCCCAAATCCCTCTAAGTATGTGAAATCTCACTCAAATATCTCTCTGTATGAGAAATCTCTCCAAGAATGACAAATCTCTCCCAAATCTCTCCAAGTATGTGAAATCTCTCCCAAATCTCTCTCAAAAGTTTCCCATAACTTTTTGGAATCATTCGGGTCATTCCGACCCTTAACCGGGTCAAAAACGGCTTAAAACGGGGTAAAAACGAGAAAACGGGACCTTAGGAACCGAAACCCTTCTTAAGGAGCCAAAGCTCCTTAAGGCCGAGACCTAGGACCGAGAGCACAGACCGGACCAAGCCTCTGTTGGCTAAACCCGGAGGACCGAACTCCTGTAGCTGAGACCGAGTCTCGGTCTCTGTCGCCTCCTCTGTTCGCTTCTCGCTCTGTCTCTTCCCTCCTCTCGGTCTCTGCTTCTTTCTCTCCTCTCTGTCTTCTCACGCCCCTCTGTCTCTTCCCTCCTCTCGGTCTCTGCTTCTTTCTCTCCTCTCTGTCTTCTCGCGCCTCTCTGTATCTTCCCTCCTCTCGGTCTCTTCTTCTTTCTCTCCTCTCTGTCTTCTCGCGCCTCTCTGTCTCTTCCCTCCTCTCGGTCTCTGCTTCTTTCTCTCCTCTCTGTCTTCTCGCGTCTCTCTGTCTCTTCCCTCCTCTCGGTCTCTGCTTCTCTTCTCTCCTCTCTGTCTCTTATCTTCTCTCGGTCTCTCTTCTCCTCTCTCGGTTCCCTCTCTCTCCTTTCTCCCCTCTCGGTTCCTACTCTCCCTCTTCTTCCCTCTCGGTTTCTACCCTCCCTCCTCTCGGTTTCAGCATCAGAAGGCCGAACCTCGGCCAGAATTCGGAAATTTGTCACTTTTAGCCCATTTTTGATATTTTTAACATTTTAAGCCCGTTTTTCGTGATTTTAAAGCGGGATTTTCTCCAGAAATTATATTTTAACATAATAAACTCTAAATATTCATAATTTAAACATATTTTGATGAAAATCATTATTTAAATAATAAAAATCAAATGGGTGAATTATTAAAGGTGGAGTGTTGACTTTGCTTTATCCAATGTCACAAGCAACCACCCCACACCCACTCTATGACCATCCATACCTCCCCACCTTACCTAAGTCACATCAATGCCCCTTGCACTCATTTTCCACCCATTCCCACGTTTTTAGAGCTGGAACAAACATCCTCTCTCCTCATTTCTCTCATTTTCTCTCATTTCACTAAGTATCAAACACCACTTTTCTCTCAAACTTTTTCTCCACCAAACTCGAGATTCAAGGCTGATTATCAAGTGTTCTTCGACATTTGGTAAGCATAATCGATTCTCCTTATGATTATCTCACTTATTTCCACTCAAATCATGGATATCTTACACAAACTCCATCATATTTGTGTTAGAGCTTCGAATCTTCAAGTGATTCTTCAAGTGTTCTTGGCTTGAACACTTCTCTTCTTCAACACTTATCTAATGAAATCACTCAAGGTGAGTTCATAACCCTACATTTTCATGTTTTCTCAAGTTTTCAGGGGGGGGGGGGGAATACAAGTTAAAACACTAAGAACATAACTAAAATTTTCTAACAGCCTTCATCAGAAAAGTTCAACTCCATTCACGGACTGTTTTGGGCATCTTAAACATTTTTTTTTTCAAAACTGTACAAGGTTCAAATAGTTCAAGTTCTTAGCTTTAAAATGGCTACTTGCACATCTCCATACGATTTTTCTACAATTTATGGTGATTTTTACGAAACTGCCTATCATTTCAAACAACAATCCGGACCAGTCTGTGATTTTGGACTTATACACCCAAGTTAGAGGTCATTACAAATCTTGATAAATATTATGAGTAAACTAGACACCTTTTGTGAACTCTCAGAATTTACGGATCTAGTTTTGGACTTCGTATGAATTTTCTATGATTTTTCCAAAACAGTGCAGAATGGCTAAATTTAGCCAACAGCATGTAAATATCATAACACTTTGTAATATGTTGAGCAAAGTGTATAATCATAAGTTCTAAATATTGAATGTGTTTCCTTGTTAGTTTATCATCATGAACTGAAACTAAGTCATTCATAATAAATATTATTCATTCAATTTAGAACACGTATATTAAACTATAAAAAGTATAGTTTGATAAATTCATAACACTAATACATTTCCATAAAAGAGTTCATACATATTACATACATTTTAGATAAATTATAATAGGTATAGTTTATGATACATCACTCAACACACTCGTACAAAAAGGGTACATTCATACAAGAAAGATTTATATTCACACACATTTCACGTAAATTTGTTAACCTATAGTTTGATAAATTCATAACACTAATACATTTCCATAAAAGAGTTCATACATATTGCATACATTTTAGATAAACTATAATAGGTATAGTTTATGATACATCACTCAACACACTCGTACAAAAAGGGTACATTCATACAAGAAAGATTTATATTCACACACATTTCACGTAAACCTGTTAACCTATATTGTGAGACTCTCTCTCTCTCTCTCTCTCTCTCTCTCTCTCTCTCCCCGTACGTCCGAGTGCGGGATATAATTCCTGGTAGTTATAATCAGAATCTCCTTGAGGGAGAACGTGATACTTGTATATAGATCTATATTGGGTTTGACAGCCCACACCTTGCTGCTAGCTACAGTGGGACCTGCAGGTCTACGGGTGACAAATGTCATTTTATTTTTCGCGACGCCTGAAAACGTCGTGGCAGGTTCACATAGTTATAGTATGATTATAGCGACTCACATAGGGATATAACAATCCATAAGTTTACGGGATTTTATTTTTAAAACCTAAATGAGTTTTATGTCGATTTAAAATCACTTTTTATCTCTATGAGTACAGATATTACTGTACACTTTTGGTTTTGGTAGTTACGACTACACATCATTTGAAACCACATTTATACTTTTAAGTATGGTCAATACTTGTTATTTCTCGGTCCTCTAATTTAGGACTACATATATATATATAAAGTATTAACGAACATGAGAACATACAGAAATTTCATTTAATTCAAACGCGTCCATGTCCATTTAAGCACATAACATTTTCTATTAATAAGAAAGGTTAATTATAAATTTTGGTCTTCAGTCATAAGAGTACATTACACAAATTTTAAAGAAAATATCGGATTTTCTGGATACATATTCTAACGCTTTTACAAGGAAAACGATTTACTTTTCTAACGAAATCTCTTATGAACTCACCAACCGTTGTGTTGACACTTTTCAAAACTACTTGTATTCTCAGGAATTTAGTGAAAACAGGAAATCAACAACGTTTTGAGGATGGGATGATAAATCGTCAAACAGTTCATTTTGTATCATAATGTAATTGATGTGAATCATGTAAACATGTGCTGTGATGTAACGTTTTCAATTATATTTGTGTTGTTTGTATTTACTTTGAGCACTATTATACTCATTGTTGTGATACTCTACATGAAGTCCTCCACCCCCGGACGTTTCCGCCATCCTTGGTTTGGGGGTGTGACACCCATCCTAGGGCATAAGTTGTGGAACATTAAGACCTAGGTGCAGTTCCTATTCTGCTCTCCGCTAAAGGTTTCTTTAACTGAATGCAACCCCCGGATGAACCCAATGCACTCCCAAATCTGGAGTAAGAACTAAGATCAATTAGGGAGGATGTAGTAATCGATAGAGGAGGTGACATCATAGAATCAGGGATCACAACTTTATTTTTCTACACATAAACCGAGAACTTGTTGCGAAGAACATCCTAGATGCTTCCAAAAAGCCTGGTCATAGATACAATCATGTGCACTTTATGAGGATGAAGACCCACATGATTGGATTCTGTCTCCTCGTTTGAAGATGACACCACACACACATTTCGCCTTTTCCGGACAGGAGCAATAACCCTCCCAACATGTGCGCCCATAGGCAAACAAGAATGGACAAAATTCAGTGGATGAGTTAGGAAAATGACTCCAACAGCCAGTCGGGAAGGCAATACAGGCCCGCTAGAACCAACATTTCCCCCTTCCACAGAGAGCAATCTAGCTAGCTCTCGCATACGCCTTTCAAATACGGGAGGGGGAAGAGCCTCTACAAGATCGACCTCCCGGTGATAGAGCCTACCCCGATAGTGACCGTGCAAGACCATCTATAAATAAATCTCATCCTCAGCACCTACGCAAATAAGAATCAGATATAAGGACTCATCAGATACCCTACTCCTACTCCCATTTCTTTTCTTTAAAAAATAATAAAAAAAAGAAGGAAGAAAAGGGAGGGGGAAGAAAGAGACAAAAGAATACCGCATCTCATGAAGTACAATTGAGCCATCTTCCCGTGAGGTCGCCAGGTTGCACCCATACCAGCCGCAGTGAGAATGTAATCCTCTCAGTTCTCTCCAACAACGGTAATGTCGCCTACTCGCTGGCCGAGGATTAGCTTGCTCTAGAAATGTGATCAGGAAAGTCTCGTGTTTTGTGATACGCATGCCCTACAAGGTCCCGGTTAGCCCAGAGCCATTACCATTGCTAATTTTTCCTCGCGACGTCTTGTTAAGAGATTGCCGATGAATGCCCCGCCCTTTCGCCAAATTACGAACACCAAAATTCGTAGTCGAACAAAAGAAGTAACTAAAAACCCAGAAGGTTAGGATGAAACCCAAAGATTGAAAAATCAGTTCAAAACCGATGATTTAATTAATGGCACTCGGATTCAAATCATCGACAAAGAAGCCATAGTGGTCCACGATCATGTTTAAGAAATCAGATGTCAGCAAGTGCAATCCTACTTCGAATAAAGGGATCGGAACTCCCACCTTCCCTTGAGGGAAGTCATGGATTGGTAACCCCTTTTCCAGAATCATTACACAATGTTCTGATAAGAAACCGAAACGATCCTACAAACGTTGGAATTCCTCCACATTATGGACTCTACCATGATGATCCATTTCCTAGAACAAACGAATGATAGAGAAGGAAAAGTCACAGAATACCCAAGATGAAGTAGAGGAAGCAGAGATAGATAATACGGATGAACGGTCTTGGAAGGGTGGGAACTTTAAAGACAGGATTGGCAGCACGAACTATCCCCCTTTTCTCGGGTCTGACTTATGATGAAGGCACAATCAAAAACCCGTTCCATGATAGAAATAATCCCAGGTGTACATGTGTTGAGAAATAGGCTTGAACGTCGATGCTATCAGGCCAACACAGACGCCTACAAGCCTAAGGGTCTTGTTAACGTATCCCTCAGAGGGAACATCAAAAAGAAAAGTCAAACTAGTAACGACCTTGGCTTGAGCTGAACTCAGTCGACCAAGTTCAAAGCCAAGGTCGGGCCTTCACCAACGCAAAAGACATAGGCGTGACAGTTATGGTGTAGAGTAGTGTTATAACTGTTGGATAAGGTGTCTAAGTCCATAACTTATTTGGTATATACTTGACCCGACCGGCATGGTCCATTTGGGTTGCATCTCATCCAAACTATTATGGATAATTTTATGAGAGTTATACACATATGTTTATTAATATATTATGAGTTATAATATATTAATATGAAGTTACGTTATTTAATTAGTTTTAGTCTTAAATTAATTATGAATTAATTTAGAGATTAAAAGGAATACTAATTAAATTATGGGCTATTTGTTTTATATAGTGTGGGCTAATACTCATTTGTTAATGGGCTAGGCTTATGTGGAAGTCCATGGATGATCCATGGAGCTTTTAACCCATGGATCCTTGGAAAAGGAAAAGACATGGGTTATTAGGGTTTCACCCTAACCATGCACACTATATAAGCATGCTTATGGAGCATGAAATGGAGCCTAAGAGAAAACTAGTGAACTAGTGTGTGTGTGCATGTGTGTGGCCGAATACAAGGTGTGTATACTCTCTCAAAGTTTTCCAAGAGTTTGTGGTGTTTGTGATTCCATTTGAGGCATTCACACTATTGGTGCTTGGCCCTCAAACTCCTTAGAACCAAACTCACCAAAAGGTATGTAATCTCTTCTAACTCTTTTATGTTGAAATGTTCCCCATGCCATGTTAGATAGGTTATAAACCTTGGAAAATTATTATTTTGCATGTATTTAGACAAACATAGATCCAAGGTTTATTAGGGTTGCATGCACACTTAGGAAGTGTTAGATTGCTCAAAACCCAACAGTGGTATCAGAGCCTAGGCTTGCTTGTTTGATACTTGATGCAAAATAGTGAAAAAAGTCGAAATCGTTGCTGTCTGCATGGTGGACTCGCCGAGTCCATTGGGGGGACTCGACGAGTCCAAGGCAAACTTCAACCTACTCGCGAGTCAGTTCATGCACTCGACGAGTAGGATCGAAAGAGTGCAGATTCTCGACTTTTGCTGCTGGAAATGGACTAGAAACATTACCCTAAACTGTTTTGGTGTTATAAAACTTATTTTAGTTGGTGTAATGGTTGTTCTAATCCATTTACAATAGCATATATCAAAATTCCATGATTTTATGTGTTCATATAATTCTTGAATTTTTGATGATCATGTTCATGTTCTTATGAATTTAGAAAATGATAGGAATTATTTGCTGAATTGTTTAGATTAATTCTTGATCATTTATGTGTTTTAATGGAGTCCATAATTTGTCCTCAAGTTATGGATTACCAAAGGTCACTTTCATTTAACACACACTTAAAACACATAAGTTACATGAAAATGAAGAGTCTTCATTTTTATGAACCTTTAATTCATAAGTTATGAAATGAAGAGTTTTGCAAAGTTACAAAACTTGCCCTCAAGTTTTGGAATTTGTAAAGTTTCACACACTTTAATAAACTTTAATTCCAAACCTTAGAGTTTTAATAGTTAAAATTCAACCCTTATACTATTTATAACATTAATGGTTAATTATTATATATATGTATAAGAATAAGTCGTTTTACCGTTAGTAGGCCTCATTCACGAAGCCGGTCTATAAGGTGGGTATAAGGTTGTTGCCTATAAAATGGCGACTTAATGGGTGTATACTCTCACCCACCGCTTGCTTGATCGGTGGAGGGTCGTTAGCCGAACGGGTAGAACAATGACTTTAAATCCTCATTAAAAGTATAATGAATATTATAAAATAACTAAACTCTTTTAATTCCCAATCTTAGTTATTTTAGGAAAATGTGAACATGGTGCTAGTCCATGGAATTCACACTTTGTACCTTACCAAGTCGTTGGTGGAGCGTGTGTGGTTAACCGGCACACTAACTAGGACTAGTAAGGATCACGAAGGGTGACTTAATGTTTGTCATAGATCAATGGAGCGTGTGTGGTTAACCGGCACATTGATTAGGTGATAATATTAAGAGTACCAAGTGAATTAGCATGGTTATTCACACCTTGTTTTGTGATCCTCGGCATCCCAGTCACAAAACTTGAAGGGCACAATCGAGATTGAAACATGCCATTGAAAAGTTCAATGAATCTCAAAAGAATCTAGGAATTTCAAATCCAATTAAACCTAATAAATCATTTCGTTTTCATGGTGGAAATTGGTGAATCGTCATTCACCTACCTTTCAAATATATTATTACTTAGATTACGGCATCCCTCTTCTAAGTGTAATATATTGTGATTGGATCCTAGCCTTAATATTACATTTGGGTGTCTTATTAAGGATCCTAAATATCTAATCTAAACTTACTTTCTTCTTTCAGATGTCTTCCAACACTAATGCTTCAGGCTCTAACCCAACTGGTTCTTTCTCTCTCATGAATCTTTGTGGGAGGGTCATCTTTGATGGTTCCAACTTCATGGATTGGATTAGGAACATCAGGATGGTTACTCGTTACGAGGACAAGGAATATGTCCTCGATAAGGAGTTAAAAGAACTTGATGAGTCTACTGCTACTCCTGAGGAGATCGCTGAATTCAGGACTCATGAGAGAGATGCTACTAAGGTGGCATGTATCATGATGGCCACGATGACAGCCGAGCTCCAAAAGTCGTATGAAGATTTCTACCCTTTTGAGATGCACCAAGACCTGATGGAAAGGTACCATCAGAGTGCTCGTCAGGAGCGGTATGAAATAATCTCCTCCATAATAACTACCCGCATGAAGGATGGTGAATCCGTCACGGGCCACATGCAAAAGATGCAAAGGTATGTGGACCGTTTGCTGAAGCTGAATGTTAACATCCCGAGGAGTTGGCAATTGACATCATTTTGCACTCCTTGCCTTCTTGTTATGATCATTTTCGAATGACATATCATATGAACAAGGAGGAAGTTACCCTCAGCAAGCTTCAAGGACTCTTGAAGACCGCTGAAACCGGTCTTAAGGGTAAAGCGGTTGTTACCTCTACTACTCCTACTCCAACTTCTACCCCTGTTTTAGCTATTGGGCAAGGCAAAGGGAAAAAGAGGAAGCACCCTTCGAAGGGTACCAAGGGAAAGTCTCTTGAAGGCTCCTCATCAAAGACTAAGAACGGTTCTGTCACTCCTTCTGCCATTCCCAAGGATGCTGAATGCTTTTATTGCCATGAAAAGGCACACTGGAAGCGAAACTGCCCTAAGTACTTGCAGGATCTAAAGGATGGGAAAGTGAAACCCACCTATGCAGGTATTTACACTATATTGTCTAATTACTCAACATATTCTAACTCTTGGGTGCTTGATACAGGATGTGGTATTCACATATGTTCTGATTTGCAGGGCCTAAGAAGAAGTGAGGATGTGGAGCACGGGAAGATAAACTTAATCATGGGAATAGGAAGGCTTCACCTGTTTCCAAGATTGGAGTTTATACTTTGTTGCTTAATAATGGGTTAAAATTAGATTTGAATAAATGTGTGTACTCGTCTGAAATGGCGAGGAATATTATTTCTTTTCATGCTTTGTACAAACAAGGTTTTACCTTTTCGTTTGATAATGAATGTGGTGGTATTAATGCTTTCTTTAATAATGTGTTTTATTTTAAAGCATTACCTTGTGATGGTGTGTATGAAACTGTGTCGATTGTAGACAACTTAGGAAATAATGTGTTGTATATTGATTCTTCTACTAGCCTAGATAAAGCATCATTGTGGCATTGTCGTCTTGGACATGTAAACAAGAAACGCATAGGCCAACTCCAAAAGAGTGGAGTCTTGGAATCATTTGACCTTAAATCAGATGATAGTTGT